CTTCGATACTAAAAAAGCATCTAGGAAACGCGTAATGGCTAGGATACCCTTGAAAGAAAGTTATTTCCGCTTCTTCGATACTAAAAAAACATCTAGGAAACGCGTAATGGCTAGGATACCCTTGAAAGAAAGTTATTTCTCCTTCTTAGTTACTAAAATACCTCTAAGAAACGCGTAATGGCTAGAATACCCTTGAGAGAAAGTTATTTCCGCTTCTTCGATACTAAAAAAACATCTAGGAAACGCGTAATGGCTAGGATACCCTTGAAAGAAAGTTATTTCCGCTTCTTCGATACTAAAAAAACATCTAGGAAACGCGTAATGGCTAGGATACCCTTGAAAGAAAGTTATTTCCGCTTCTTCGATACTAAAAAAGCATCTAGGAAACGCGTAATGGCTAGGATACCCTTGAAAGAAAGTTATTTCCGCTTCTTCGATACTAAAAAAGCATCTAAGAAACGCGTAATGGCTAGGATACCCTTGAAAGAAAGTTATTTCCGCTTCTTCGATACTAAAAAAAACATCTAGGAAACGCGTAATGGCTAGGATACCCTTGAAAGAAAGTTATTTCCCCTTCTTAGATAATAAAAAACATCCTAAAACCTCGGAATGGCTAAAATACCCTTTGAAACGATATTTTTCTACCCTGGCCCTTTCGGGGAAAAAGGCGAAACGCTGCGGCTCCGGTGAAAATTTTCAGCCCCCGACTACGGTATTCAGGGGGTTCGCGGTGGGATTGAATTCCCGGTCGCGGTCGGACGTCGGGCGCACGGACATTAGAAATTTATATATAGTAGATTTGTGCTTGCAACAGTATTGTGACTGAAAACATCAGAAATCGTGAGAACATGAGGTAAACCCCGTGAAACTACGGACTCAAACACGCCAATTCAAGCCAAAAAGACCCAATAAGGCCAAAACAACCCGCTCGGGGTGATAATTTGCCGTCTACAAAGCCTACCTATCGCTAAACAACGTTTAAAAGGCATACAAAGCTGAAAAAAGCCATTTTATGTAATTGTTTCCTCTCTCCATACGTTGGCTTTCCCCATAGAGCGCTTTCTGGCATTGGGCGCTTTCTGGCATTGGGCGCTTTCTCGGATTGGGCGCTTTCTGGTATTGGGCGCTTTCCGTTTGGCGCTTCTGCATGGGCGCTTTTCTCGTTGGCGCTTCTTCCATCCTCCCGGTCCCGCGCATTCAGCCGCGTCCCTCTCGCGCATTTTTCAATACGTTAATTCGATTGACCGACTGCTTGCTTGCTAAATCACGTCTAGCATCGGGAGCAGCAACGCACTACCGTAGTCTTCATTTTATCCCGTTACTCCCTCGATTGCTTTTATCGATTTTTCTCTGATCTCGTTTGTAGACTTTTTGTTGTTTTTTTCTCCTCATTCCTCTGTTTTCCGGTTGTTTTATGTTGAAACATAATAAAAATTTAGATGAGCTCCTTTGCGGGGCCACCAGCTCCCAAAACAAAATCGGTGCTTCTTGACGGGATCGAGCGCAGCCTATCGGAAGGACGGAAATGTGTTCTACGTGGCGTAGAGTTAGATGAGCAATTCCCAGGTATCGAATGGAATTTACCTCATCTTTATATCTTTTTAGTTGAACGAAAGGACCAGAAGATTGCCGCTTGCGAATGGTACAAGAAAGGGATTGACCATTTTCGGGTCAGTTTGTTTTAACCTTGCAATATATTTTCGCTTGTAGGATGCTCTTGACGTAAAGTTAAACAACATCCCAAATGATCGCAGGAAAGAAGCATCGGAATTGCTAAAAAAAGTTTGGATCGACATGCGCAAGGCTGAAGAACGATTTATAACACTTAGTAAGTGTTTTTTGAATTGTATTAATATATAAATAGCAAACACGTACCTGGCAACGAAGCCTTCATCATCTGAGCCCAGACCAGGCACATCAACACCCCCTCAAACTCGTGCCCCTGCAGGAGGGCCGCCGGGACTCATGGTTTCGTCGGTGGGTTATCGAAGACTTCCTGGATTTCGTACATTCGATTTTCGATTGCGCGTTCATTTAAATTCTTGACCTTTTTCAACAAAGTTCTCGTTCTAGCAAACTTTTAACGGCTTAAGAAAAATGCTGCTAAACGTAAAGCATAGAGGCCCTTGAACCGAATCAAAGCTGTCGGTCGGTGAACTGGGAATCTTTTCTCCAAACTCTGCTCTAACAACATCTTTTTCAGACAAAACCAAGAAGTGCAGCAGAGCCGCCCCGGAATCGCATCGTTTCTGATCGTCCTGACCGTAGCGCCATGTTACGAGGTTCTTTCCGTGTTTCGACACTTAATATTTGTTTAGGCGTCGACGCAAAATTCGGAAACCTGCTGCTCGACGATATGTTGGACAAGACGGGTGTTACGCTGAACGATGTTTACGGTATATTATTTCAACAAATCTATAAACGTTCTCAGGTTGTTATTCTGCTAAGCAAGCACTGGAAGAAGCCGTCATTTTTCCGGCGTTGAACCCATCCCTGTTCAGGTAGTTTGTTGTCGATTCTGCAAGTATTCTTGCTTTAGTGGTTTGCGACGGCCGGTCAAAGGAATTCTGCTGTTCGGACCTCCTGGAAATGGGAAAACACTGCTCGCGAAAGCATTGGCAACCGAGTCGAATCAAACTTTCTTCAACATATCGGCATCTACTCTTACTTCCAGATGGGTAATTCTGAAGCTACTTGACTGTTCTCGATTGAATTTTAGTTTGGAGACGCTGAGAAGACTGTGAAGGCGCTCTTCCAAATCGCCCGCAATGCCCAGCCGTCGATCGTTTTCGTCGGTAATGAATGTTTCTTTTATCTATGAAGAATTTATTTCAGATGAGATCGATTCAGTTCTCTGCGAGCGAAACGAGAAGGAAAGTGATGGAAGCCGTCGGTTGAAAACCGAATTTCTGATTCAGTTTGACGGCGCCTCAACGTCTGATGATGACCGGTAAATTTGGTACTGTGTTTAGTAATCTTTTTTAGGATACTAGTGATAGGTGCCACCAACCGACCACACGAACTTGATGATGCCATTCTCAGGTTGCGCGTTTTTTTTCTTGAAATAGTTGATTTTTAGACGTTTCCCGAAACGGATACTTCTTGGCTTGCCGGATGCGGTGGCCCGCGGAGCCGTCATTATGCACACCCTAAAAAAACACAACGAATCGTTAAGCGAGGCCAGCATCCGGTAAATGATTTTTCCCTTCTGAAACTATCTTGTTCAGGCATATCGCCAAAATGACCGAGGGTTATTCGAACTCTGACCTGGTAAACCTGTGCCGTGAGGCAGCAATGGTACCAGTGAGACAGATGGGACGGGATCGGTTGCTTACAACGAACGAACACACAATTCGCAGTTTGCAGGTATGAGTGGTTCAACTTTGGCGAACATTAGTTTTTTAGGTCTCCGACTTTGAAGAGGCCTTTCAAGTCATCAAGCCGTCCACCAATCCGCATCAGCTCGAGTTGATGAAGACATTTGCCGCGCGATGTGGACAAGCGTAGCGCCAAAACGTAACCTCATTTATTGCTCACGAGTCGTTTCTATCTCGTGTCAATTTTCTCGGTGTTTGTCGTTTTCACATACTTTACTCCCCTCGTCACGGAACTCCATTCCATGGTATAGGCGGCACTGAAAAACTAGGCAAGTTCGCCGAAAAATGGCTACGCGACGATGCTCTAATTTAAACTCTTGGTAAAAATGCCAGCTTCAACGCTTTATTTAAAGTAGGTTCGATATCGCCGTGTCGTTTTGAAAATTCACGTTCTTTGCAATTTTGCAGGAAAACATTGCAGGAAAAACGGCAATTAGCAAATGTCGCACGTTTCGCAACCTGTATTTATATGGGAATTCTGTTACGATATCGGAAATTTTGTTTCATTTCCGTAGATAAAATTCCATATACGGTTGTCCAACAGCCTGTTTTTCTAGGGAGATGACACAAAATTTAGATACCGTAAGCGGGTGCCCATATAAATACAAGCGTGCGAACCGTGCGACATTTGCTAATTGCCGTTTTCCTGCAATGCCTTAAAATTTATCTTAATGTGCCGTCTTTTTTCGTCTTCGTTGCTTTGCCTCTCTTTCATCCTCTGTTTTGAGATTCATTTGCCGTGTTGCATTCTAACTTATTTAGCTATAATAGTCATTCCCCATCTAGCATCTCTTTCGGGTATATTCAATTGAAATAAATCGTTGTCGTTAACTATAGATGCCTCCACAAAGCGCTTCAGAGTTTTTTTCAGCAATCCGGTAGTGTTTGTTGGAAGTGGAGGCCGTCCCCACTTGAAATCCAGCAGATGATTGATGGTTGGACCATCCAAGACCATGATTCTAGTCCCTGTAGTGGTGGGGGAAGCATGGTGAGCAAGGGGAGCCCCCCGTTTCCTCCCCATTCGCAAGGCCAAAGTTTGACACCGCCCCTGACGTACAAAGAGCGCACCGCAGCCCGGGAAAGCAGCACAAACTAGAGCCGTGCATTAGGGCAGACACCATGCGGAATGGCTATTTTTCAAGTGGTCCGTACTTCGGGGTACCCCCGATTTTTTTGGCCGAGTTTGTCAGCGCATTTGCCTGCCCAGGTCAACAGATCAAATTGAAAAGTTCTTGAGGGAATGTTTGAACGTGGAGTATTTTGATTTTCGTGCTTTCTAAAAGGTTCATTTCACAGTTCTATAATGCCTTCAAAACAAATTAGCTTTCGAAGGTTTTTGTAGGATGTTTTGGGCGCGTATGCGATGGGTTTTTTTTTAGATGGTCGAAGCTATGTAACTGTGAATGAATGAATGTAGCGAATCAGTGTGCGTTCTTTTTCAAAATTCTTTCTGTGGTATTTAACTTATATAATGTCATTTGTAAAAAATATAAACGCAATCGTTTATTAAGAATCGCAATCTGGCAGAATCATTGTCTTACAAAGAAGATATACTAGTTTTGACAAAGTGTTTTTGGCGAGATCGGGCGTCGTTGGTTTGCGAGTTTTTTTTTTTGGTAATTAGGCGGCTTGTCCTTCGGTAGATGGCAATCCGGACGCCTTCAGGTGACGCTGGGCTTCCGCGTTGAAAATCTAAGACAAGGGGTTATTTTTAATTGTTGTGGGTTTTGATGTAATGGTTGTTTTGCAAACTCACGTCGCCCATCTTGAACCAGGCCTTCTCGGTCTTCTCATCAAGCGACATCTTGCTCTTCAGGTATCCAGTCCAGACGGTGAAGAAGGCCTAAAGCTTTCAGTTTTGCCGTTTTGATATGGCCCTACAATCCATAAAGCCGGGTCCATCTTGTATTGGCGGTGACGGTTGATGGTTTCGCGGATGTAGCCCTTAATTTTTTATTTAGTTTTATGAGAAAGTAAAACCTTGAACACTTCAATGTTCTCATAAGTGTTTGCGAGGATGTGGACGGCGAGCAGGATACGCTGGCCCTGCTTCTCGAATCTAATTTTCGTGATGAAGCTGCTAAGGTTCCCGGGACTCACCGCTCACTCTTTTGGACGTCTTCAGCGGTGTACTTTTCGGCTCCCTTGAAATAGACGCGGAGATCGGGGAAGTTGGTGAAGAAGCTAAATAATAAAATCTTGTGTATATATAGATATAATAAGAGGGTCAATTATCAAGAAAGTAGGTAGTACAGGTACTATTTTTTGAGTTTTACGGCTTTAATGCATAGGTAAACCTAGGTTAAAACCTACTATTTGTAGAAATCGCGTCCATGTTGGAGGTTCTCTTCGCCAGTTCCGACCATGACTTTTTGCATGGACTCACGGATGAGCTTGGCGTCTTCGGGGCACACAGCAGGGGTCATTTTCTGAAAATGATATTATTATAGAGGAAAGCGTAGAGTGGAGAAATTAGTAGTAATAATCGGAAAACAATATAGATGGTAGTACGTGTCAGTATTTATACAGGAGGGTTGTTTACCACTTTCCAAAATAAAAAGGTCCAATGGCCTTGAACAATTGGACGCGGCCAGCGCTGGAAATAGTGCGTTGCGGGGAGGGAAAGGGGAATGTTGTGTGGGGAAAATTTGGTCCAACCGGGCGGTGGAGGCAGGAAATGAGGATTTAAGGCCAGGGCGAGCGTGCGAGCGGTTGCATTGCGTGAAAGCCGGCAATTTCCGCCGGGTGTAATTGCCGCTTTTCTGTTCCGCTTGTGGATCAGGGCACATGGACGGACACATACACGCAAGGGGGCAATGATTTATTCGAGGCGAAGGGGTGTGGATGATGGCGTTTGACGGATTTGATGAATTTTTGAGGGAGGAGGGAAGAGAAAAGGGGGGCCTACTTTCCTGAGCATTGAAAACCCCTTTAGGTTATGGTGCATTAGCAGGGGAGCCTAACTTCCTTAACATATAAATTTAAAAACAAATAAAACCTTTTGAAAACTGACTATTTTTACCCATTTTCGACCAAAAGTTCATATCTTTCGAAAATTTGAATGAGTGATCATGTAACGTTTATGTCTGCAACCGCATAGAAACTATTTAAACGGCTGCAATTTTATTATACGGTGCCTTCAGAAAAATATAAATAGCCCCCCCCCGCTAATCAACCAGCGCCGCCGTATTCTAGGCTCAAAACTCACGCTGCTTTTTAACGCTAACTCCCTACAGCCACTACCGTAACCACCTAATTTTTCAAAGGAAGCTAAGATAAGAAAACACAGTGTGTACCGTGAAGTGGCCGTTGCCGAGCGCCCACACCGCCCGGCCACCACTTTATATAGGCCGAGTTTCGGCCCGCAATTTCAGGTACTTTCTGGGCAGGAGGGGGCGGGGTCGGCTCGATCAAGGAAAAAGACTGGCACACGGAAGGGAGGAGCTCGACCCGTAGGAGGAAAACCCATGACAATTTTTACACAAAAAAACACCTCTGGGGACGGGGTGAAAATAGTGTTCATAGTGTTTTGGGGTCAAAAATATTGTAATCGATATAGTCCCGGAACACCTGGAATAGCTTTCATTAGTGTCGCAAAGTGAGCCGTAGGTTTAAATCGTGCCTGTCCTGGAAAAATTCAAATCTGGACGGGATGCTAAAAATTTGAAGGCAAACTAGCAGAGTTTGTTCTGAAATTGAGATCTTTTTGTCGTCCTAGCGTTTTAGTTGCGAAAATTTAAAATTTCAAGTATTTGCAATTTATTAGACGTAATTGCGTTAAAAATAAGAGCACAAAACACTACGTCCTGAACTACTGCTCTTTCGGTCTTTCGGAAACCACTCAAAACCGCGAATTGTTATCAGCACCCATCGCCCTGTTTTGCTGTCTAAAAAGGGAAAGCGTCGCACGCTGTTATCTATAGCCAAACAGTGGCCTGGATCTCGTTTTGTTCTCGCGGGTATCCCATGGAATATACAATAATTGGGCCAATATTTTTCGGGAACTAAAGGACTAAATGCAGTGGTGAATGGGTTTTCTATTTATGTGCCGGGGCGTCGACAGGAAAATTACAAAATTTTCTGCAATACAGCCTTGAGACGGTCCGCGATCAGACGGGAGAGCTAGACCTGGGAAAATTTGTTGAGAGAACCTTTCATGGCAATCAGAAATCTTGTTTATTTCTTGATTAAATCTAAAAACTGGGTCAGTTCTATGTGTTTTATTTGAAAAAAACATAGAGCATAGGCGATGCCTGAGTTTTGTAAAGAAGTGGATTTATTCTAAAAGTTGATTCAACTAGTCTACCTCTCCGCCGTTAATTTCACTCGTATTGAAGGACTTCCCAGACCGTAAAAAGACCGAAAATTGTCCACTCCACTTCGGCCCCCAAATCCGCTAGCTATTCAAAACCTGCTCTCTCACGGGCGCGTCTTCAACAAGGTCATACTCATGCTTGTTGCTCCCAAATCGAGGGTTGAGCAGGACAAAGTGGGCATAGTAAGTATAGAAAAGTGGGTGAGAGGAGAATGAGGGTTGCTTGTTTTGTTTTCTAATTCTACCAGGGTTGAAAAGCCGCTTCGCGACTTTTCAACCCTGGCCCCCGTCTAACCCCATGGCATTCGTCAATTTGCATAAATCTCTCGGATTCCGATAACAAAGAAAAAATTAAAATCACTTCTCTCCTCCCCAAAATAAAGGCTCGCGCTACTTCCGGGCTATGTTAATTGATTCCTAACAAAGAGGCTACCCGATTTTTTAATAAAAACTTAATTTTAATGTCGAAGATAGCCTAACTTGTAAAATATGATATGCTTGCAGGCATCTCCAGGCCATTACGCATCTAATGACGTATCATGCGTAGCCCAACCCCCTTCCCATCTTGAGATATCCTCCGGACACGCTGACGGAAGTTGCATGCAAAGTGGCACAAACACACACACACACACAGACACTATTTTTTTATATATAGTAGGATTGCTTGGACTTACTAGGGAAGCCCGTTTAGTGTCGATTTTCGTCCCCGAGAAGTGTTTTGCCATAATGCCGTTCTTTTTTTATTTTGAAGCTCTTATTTTATTTGAAAAAGCCTATCTTATAGAGAATTTTTTTTTTCTGATTCGAATGGTATATTTCATTAAGGTAGGCTTCGTTTAGGCGTCGTCTTACAGCTGTTTGAAGTAGGCTGTTTTTCACTATTTCCCATACAAAAATCGGAGTCCATCTCAAATAGTCGTCGATTTTTCCATTTTTTCGAGTTTCCGAAAATCTAGAGTTAGAGGGCTCATTCGAAAGAAAAAAAAATTTCTGAATACGATGCCGATATTTATCTTTGGAAATTCGGCTGGGAAGATCAAAATAATCGAGCATGAAGTTTGACGATTTTACCTAAAGGCTCGCTTTAAAAGTGGCATATCTCGAATTTTAAAGATCAGTAGCAAATTTGGACATCGAGGTGATGATCAGCGTAGTCGATTCTATCTGTGTGCAAAATTTCATCCAAATCTGAGTGCGGGACTATACGGGCTTCCCTAGTTAGGCATAGGCTAGGGCTTAGGCTTGGCTTGGGCTCTAAATGACCGGACACCTTTCGGAACCCCATCTCTCCTTCTCTCCTTCCCCTCTCCCCTATAAGGTGAGAACTTCCGGGTTAAATTCCCCCCTTAATCCTTAAAGGCGATAATTCTCGCAGGGTGCATGTTGATTTCCCCGATAGTTCTCTTCTGAACGGTGAAGATGATGAGAGGATGATGATGAGGGTTGAGACTGTGGGGTATGGTGGAAGATAGATGGAAGGCGGCACCCTCATCGGGAGTGCGTCTATTTGATGAGGCTGGCCTTTGTGGCCTCTGGGTCTTTATGGTGGGTCTCTAATAATCTGTGCAAGCCGATGGGGGGTGGACCTCTTGGTGACCCATCTTTCGTCCACTGCCCTAATCACAAACACCGTTCCACCCAGAGGGAGTGCTACAGACGGCTTCACTAAATTCGTTTCGGCGTTCCTTAATTTCTGAGAATAAGAAAATCTGAAAAGGATGTGGTCCCAAGTGGAAGCGCTGTTGTTTTTTGGTGGGTTAAAGGTTTTATCGTTTAAGAAGCTTAAAAATTTATTAGCTACAATTTGCTGGTTTTTTTGAAACATCTGATTTGGTAAAAAAAGAATGAAATGTTGGCTATTGCGAATTAAAGATTAAAGGCAGTTTTCGATAATATGCTAATTAATTATTTAGACTAATCCGGAACAACACAAAATTCCTATATTGGGAAGAATATTTTTTGTAAGGTTTGTACTTTGCATCCTAATTAACATGTTATTTTTGTACAGAATTTCCTGTGTAATATCCTACTGTACAAATAAATTAAGCTTGAGCTAGAGCTCATGCTCAGACATAGGCAAAGCTCTAAAGTAAACTTAATAACCAACAATTCCAACGATTTTTTAGTGTTTTAAAACCCCACACTCCATCCGCTAAAAACAGGAGCTATAGTGTGAACACTGGGCAAACAAAACGTAGTGAAGAAAAAGAAAAGAATAGCCCCCGGGGGGTCGATTTCGAGTGGCCCTCCTGGTCCCAAGGAATCACGGCCATTTGTGGGACACTCCTCATCCTGGGATCTATTTATTGCCCATGTTACTTAATCCGGCGAATTCCACGGGGCTCCACCAATTACTACAAATGGGTAGAAGATTAGAGAAATAAATTCCTCCCTTTTCAGTGGTCCTCCGGCTCGCCAATGCTCAATACTGTCCGGCCGGTTTTGACGATTTGCTTGATGGGACTCCATGCGAGAATGCGGAGGTGATTTTTTAAAAGCAATTTTGCCATATTTTTCGTACAATTTAAATTTTTCAATGTCTATTTGTATATTTAGGTTTGCCTGCGACTTTCGAACAGCGAGGATTTCAATTGTGTGAATGGATATTGCTGTCGAAATAGTCGATCTTTGATTAGTAACTGTAGGTTTTTGTTTTTTGTTTAAAATTCTATTAACTACTGTTTTAATAATTATTTTATAAAGCAGGTTATGGTTTAAAAATTTCGACAAAAAATGGCTTTTAGTCTGTGGCGTAAATGAAGTGTCGATCGCTGGTGTATGTTACCCTCTCTCATCAGAAGGTGGGTTTTTTTAAAGGAGCTGTGAAGGCAGGAAGAAGTATAGATCTCGACCTGTAATAAACCTTAAACATAACAAATATTGTTTCAAAGCTCCATTTTCAGGCCATGAATGCACATATTCCACCCAATGCCAACCAAACCATTTGATATGCCGAGATGGGATCTGCTCGGATTCTACCGTAGGCGAACGTAAGTAGGAAACTTCGGAAATTCACTATGTTTTAGCTGATTGTCTAAATCCGGAGCACGAGGCCGAAAAAATGAACGGATACGTCAAGAGTTGCTTGGAAGAACGGTGCTCACCGGTATGCAGAAGTTTTCTAAACTTTTGAGTCGAATTTTAGGGTTACAAATGCGAATACCACCCATTATATTTGGGCGGCGACTATATTTGTTGTGGCAAGAGGAGCGATGAATATAATTATGATTACGGTATGCTTTAATATTAAAAATTAAATATTTAAATTATGGGCTTTTCACTTTGCAATTCAAAATATTTAAATCTTTCAGGCGTGGTTCGCGTTTATCCAGGCACAAAATTACCATTGGAATGCTTTTCGGTGAGTTTAAAAGTCCATATATTATCCCGAATAAATTGAAAAACTCAATAACTTTTTAAGTTTCCAAAATTTAGTTCTAATTTTAATTTCAGGCAACAGCCTGCAAATGGGCCGATACCCCAAATTGCATCTTCAGCGAACGTCACGGCCATAATGTCTGCTGCTCAACGTATAACTGTTAATATGACTATACTTTTGTTTGACCACCTCTTTGTTTCGTTTTCATTACACTCTCTTTTTTCCCTCTCTCCCTCTTTTGTCCCCTAACAAATGACCTCAAAAATTGCCGACCAACGTGCTGATCGTCTCGCAATGTGCTTCCGCTTGAACCGTGTGCTCGGGTAAGTTATTTTCGTCAGTTTCACGCAGTGGGGGTGAACCCATGAAGTTTTTCTCGTTGTAACTTTTCTGACGAAAGAAATAAAGGATTTGAATCGGGTTGATGGAATTCTAGATGCAAAGAATCTCTAATAGCTTGTCAGGCTTACAAAACCTTTTAAATATGTTAAAAACAAACTTCGATTTCTCAAAGAATTTCTGCTACCTTGCCGGAAGCCCAAAAGCCCCCAAAAACCTCTAACATTTGTTGATAAAGAATTTCGGCTTAATTTCTGAATATCCCGTCCCCCAATAACAAAATTCAAAAAGCCTTTGCTAGCTTGCCAAACTTACAAAAGTCTGAATTTGATGGGAAAAATCCTATTTATTCCGGAAAGTTTTTCGGCTAATCTGAAACTTCCGAAAAAACTTCTGATACTATTCCTAAAGATTTTCTGCTCGATCGCTTGTAAAATCCTGATAAAACTATAAGATCCAGATAGCTTATCCACCTTAAAAACGTTCCAAAACCAAAAAAATCCTTTTACCAAAGAATTTCTGCTAAATCGTCCCCCCCCAAATCAGCCGATCCGATTTGCAGAAACCACTCGGACAAATGCAATCAACGGGGCTGCATCTTTGAGAGTCATTCTCACCGGGTGAGAGCGCTCTTTAGAAATGACAGCCCAGAAAGACCACTTGCCTATATGTGAAGGAGGAGGAGGAGGAGGAAGAAGAAGAACAAGACAACGAGAAAGAGAACCGAAAAAGGAGCTGTCGACCTGGTCGAAGCCACAAATAGCTTCTCCATCAACCCATCCATTCCACACGCCACCTTCATCTTATCAAACTGCACCGCCAGAGCGCGCGATCAACCCATCGGGTTCGCAGTGCCTGATTTTTTCTATTATATTACTTCGTATTCCATAGCTGAAATGTCTTTTTGTAATTTAACAAACCGCAGATCTTAGCCACATCTTTTAACCTAAATTTGATCATAAAACCTCTAAATTAATAAAAATTATGAGGATCGAATTGTGATGTTGAAATTTTAGTGTAATATATCTGCTGTAGCTGTTTTCTACGTAATTCACTTCTGTTCTATGAATTTTCTGTAGAACTTAATCGGAAACATAGCCTTTTTATCGCTGATTTACGAAATATCATCCTCCAACTTTAGAAAGCCCCCTTTGTTTGCACTTTTTTTTCGTTGTGTTTCCTCCAAAATTCGAGGGATAACCTATCTTTCCCCCTCAGATTTTAGCCTTGACGCCAACAATGAGGTGGATTGTCTACTCCCTTTTTGTCGGCACGACAATTGCCCAAAGTTCGCTGCTGCTTGAGGTAAGTTTAAGGGATGATACCAGATGTAATTCTACTGTTACTTCACAGGTTTTAAAGTGTCTTTTAGCGAGCATGTCAAAAGAATCCACGACTACCGTTTTGCCAGGAAATGGTGGTGTCGGCGCATAAAGTATCGGATGAGGATTTGGTGGTACCTCCGAGTGAGTGCAGCAATATTATAAATGTGCTTAGGATTAGGTTTAGGCTTAGGCTTTGATTTAATCTTAGCTTTCTGCATTAAGACAACCAAAAAAACATTTTAAGACCCACCGCCCGCCGACCCACACGAAGAAGAACTCATCTTCCCGCCACCAGTTCCAGATGCTTTCACTAGTAAGTCGCGATTCCCATAATAATCGTAAAATTAATTATTTAGAAAAATCAAACCCGCCCCCAACTATCAGCACAACAACTATTGAAACCGCTACTTTCCCAACCATACTAACTACAACAGAAGACGAGGCCAAAAAGCTGCTTGAGGCTCCGTTTGGTATGATCCCACTGCCAAAACCTAGCGGACCCGAGGTAATACTCAACTTTATTGAATGAAAAAGTTATTTGAATTACAGCTTGACGCTAGAGAAGAGGAGAACAACGGAACAACACCAAGAACCGTCAGGAAGACGTTGGAAAGTGATGTGAGTGCTTACGGCTGAAAACGACAAGCTTTCAGAAAAGAAATGACATCTGAATCCCATTCAGACGCACGTGCTCGTGTTCGTCTCCGAGTTCTGCGTCGTCAATCGGGAGCGTTTTGTGCGGAGATGTCATGGTGAAATTGAGCGTGATGAGGTGAGCCTCTCGGAAACTCCGGAAAATACTCTTTACAGGTCGATTTTTGTAAATCTTATCCGCCAGCTTGTTCCGGGACGTCAGATGTGATCCCGGTTTTGGGTTATTGTGGACGGTCGGTGTATTGTGATACCTTAATTTTCCAGATTTCAGCTACTTCATGGAATACCCAAAGCTTTGTCGGCATTCAAAAATACATGAGTTGGCACTACAGGTAAGTAATATTATATAAATTTGTATACAGCCCTTTAGTTTTGCTTTGCATTCGAAAAATTCTGCTTACCCGAGCTTGAAAAGAGGAAGCCGAAACGACTGGAGGTACGGTAACCCTCAAATAATTCCAGAAATGCAACTTTTCAGCAAAACACAACACCACGCCCAAATTTGCAGCGATGTGAGGATGTGGTAGATGAAGCAAGAAAGGTATTCGGGTTACTTTCCAGCTTAAATTTTGTCTTTCTAGGCCTGCAACCCATTTCCAAAACTCACCGACTCGTTCAACGTGCTGCGATGCGCACAGTTTTTGAAGCACTGCCAGAAATTTGTGGATTGGCAGTGATGAGGGGGTTGAGATTGGTTCACGTTGATCCTATAATGACGGGTATGATGGAATTGTAAATAAAGATGAACGTGTCGGAAGTAATACAATGCCGATTTTAATACCAAATTTCGCATATACACGCTGCCCGTTTTTTCTGGATGTGACGTTTGCCACTGGCGGCAATCCGGTCTTGTGTTCCGATTTTTACGCGCCGTCCCTCGGAATGTCCCAGATTCATCGGCCCGATAATTTACCCTCCGGCAGCGCGTGGCTGCCACACGCTGCGCTGTTCCTGGAAATTCTCCGATTTATTCGGATTTTCATGTAAATTTAGAAGCATTGGTTGCTGTAAAAATTCCGAAATTTTATGGGGTTTCAGGCCAACATACCGATTTTTCGTAATGCAGCATTATTAAAAAATTAAGATGACATAAAGCCGAATTTATTTTTGATAGTTTTGCCAAGTAATTTTCGCTTAAAGTTGTACAGCCAACAGCCTTAATTGAAGCAAACTTGTAGGTGTGCAGTTTGACAATATGAAAATTCGGTATACGGAAATGTCGGCATACTGACAATTCGACATTATGAAATTTTTAATTAGAACATTTAACACTATGAAACGGAATTATCAAAATTACAGCATTCCCGCGATAAATCAAAGCAACCACCCACCCGATTTTCACCAATTTCTTTTACCTCCTCTCGACACAGAACAAAAGAAATGGTCATCGGACAGTAGGTATTGAAACGGAAGAGTGGAACCTAGGCAGAGAAACCCGTTCCGCCCTCTCTTTCTTTCTGTCCACCAATCCACCCTATTCTCCGTCCACCACAAGCCTTGTTTGGCATCAGCCTTTCTTGTTCTCGGCTTATCGTCTATCTGCTGCCCTATCCCACCACCCCACCTTCCCTATCCAAAATGATTTCTTTTCCATTTTGTCTCATCCACAGTCTTCCACGAATCTGTATCGATTCGGGGTGAAGGGCGAGGCTTTTTCCGATCCACTTATGCTTGGTATTCCGTGACCGGATCTTAAGGGTGATGCGATTGATTTTTTCTTTGTTATACTAGGAGGCAAGGGCCGCTTCGCGGTTTTTTTTGACCAGGTCGCTCATGGCACAACTGTCTGCCATTTACATATTTCTACCCGCTTCCGAAGGCGTGTTTTCTTTCCGCATCAGACGTATGCTAATGAAGTGGGGACAAGGCTCTACAAAACCTTGATTTCAGTAACAAAATTTTACTTTTGTAGTTTACTAAATCTAGTTGTGAACACCATAGATGCCACTACGCGTCTATTGACGTATCATGTATACCTTAAATCGTTCTCTCATTATATTGGATCCCGTGACCAAAATTACATGCAAAATATCCCAAACCCACACACCAACACCTTTCCTAATTTTTATATATTTTATCATTTTTATTTCCTTCTTTTTTCCTAACTACCCTATAGCATAACATTTCAAGACTTTTTCAGTGTTGGCAAAATGTTATTTCGAATATTTGGGGCCACACTCATCGCCATCCTTGTCGTACTGGTTGGCGCTCGCTATGAAGATCGTTAGTTCCTTAAAAACATATTTTACCTTTCTAATTTTCCGTTCAAAAACTTTTCACGCTTAGGCTATGACCGTGCCCTGATGCCGTGGGACCTTCGGCCAGTCCAAAATCTGATTGGCCTCTGGAAATTGACGCACAAGACGGGAAGGTTGGGTTTTTTACTTTTCCGGGTTCAAATTATAGCTGCGCTGATCTAAAAAAAATAAAATCTTCCCTGAACGTTAATTTTGATTGAAATCTCGAAATCCTTGTATGCAAAAAATCCTGTGGTCTTTTCAAGGCAGAAGCATAAAAAAGTGCACATTTTGAGCTTTCGCAGCCAAAACTTACAATTTTTCAGTAAAATCAGGAAGCTCAAATAATTTAGCACCTTTGAAAGAAGATCTTAATAGAATAAAACAGCTTTAACTCAAACTCCCTAGAGCCCTCCAGCTCCCCGCTCCTGATCAAATCGATTACGCCATCAATCCGATCCCAAAGTTTGGAGCCCGAGCGATTAACATCACGTAAGTGAAGGAACTAGCGATTTCTGGTTTATATAATTTGCGTCCTAAGTAAGATTCGATTCCAGGCATACCTATTTTGATGGGGCTGGCGCGGTACTTCGTCACGATTATGGTTATATGCCAGTAAAGGTAATAGAAGTAAAAAATGCATTTAATTATGCCTTTAAAGTTACTTTCCCGGTTATCGCCTAGGCTAATGTTAAAGTAGATTCCTTCAAGACCAAATTTAAATTCAGAATTGTTAAAATCTCTTAACCAATTCCAGTCAAACGTGACAAAAGTCCGCAAACTCTACAAAGAGGAGAAGGTGAAGTGAAATAAACCGAAAACCTCCAAACTGCATGCAATTTCTTTTTAAAGGTTCCGGGACTTTTTTTATTTGAATTTGCATGTGCATGTAACAGAATCAGAAAAATATCAATAATAAAATGCGGATTTAGAATGCGACACGTCGTGATCCTCGTATTCATTTGGCTTATCTGACCACAAGCTCGGAAGGTATGCTTTTTAAAGGATGAATCCCAGTAGTACACAAAAATATACCTTAAAAACCAGCTTAAAATTAATTAATTTTAGGTTGGTCTATGATGGAACAAGGTCAAGTTTCCGGTCAAGTCATGACATTCCACCTTAAACAATTCCTCTCCCGCAGCTTCAGCGTTGGAGGAGAACCCAATAATCGCAATCTTGAGATCAGAGAGGTATCATCTATGATATCATCTTAATGGCCTCATTTTCAGTTTGAACGCCAAATCGAACAGACGGATTACAACAATTTCATCATGAAGATCCGGGCTGAGACGGCTATCGGCACAGAGACCTACACGGCATTTTATCAGCGTGTCATGGGATGATGCAAAAATATACGACAACTATATTCAAATAAATCATGATAATTATTGAAAATACTGGTTTTACTACTGTACTACTACTTTTAGATTTTAAAGGTTTATTATAACGCAATGCAACAAACATTTGCAAAAGCCGAAGTGAGGAAATGAAATAGTAATTCAAAAATTACCAACATCTTTTTTTGGTTAAGCCTCCGGAATTTTTGAAATAAACAGCACCATTCCACACACTAATAGATTCGATACCTTAAATGACCTTTTGTTTATTTATACCACCCACCACCCAAGGCTAGTTGTTAGCTAGAGACTTTTCGGACCTCATTTCAACAGAATGCCCTTTCCGCTTTGAGTACCCATGCACTCCCGGCAGGCTCATACGAATAAACATAGCCGAATATTTCGTCCGTCCCCGATTTCGAATGTAGTATGGATATGGAAATGCGATTCGTGTACGTATTGCAATGTAGTCGCCTTCAAATCCATTTTTAGTAAATGTGGCTTACATTAAACGTGTTTTTATACAGGTTGCAAATGCCATTAGACCTAGGTTGGGCAGAATTTTATGCTGAATCCGGAGCTGTTGCTCAAATTTGCGCAGTAGCTCTATTTCAAAAGTTACAGCGTTTTTTGCTCAAAATTGGCCCCGAACTGCCAATTTTAGGAACCTCTAAAAACCATTGCAAAAGGTAGAGGATACAGGGTATCCGAAACAATCTAAATGCTCTAGCGGGCCCTAAAGGCGTCCGATTCTGACGATTAAGGTATCATATCATTATATATATCCAAACTATTAGCGTTTACCAAACGCCGATTTTAAATTTTTGGCATTTCTATTTCAAATTTAATGGATGAATGCTCCACACCAGCGAGCGTCTTCACATAGAATTCAGAAAACCCTGAATTCCAAAATGTCGTTTACTTAATTCTCCGCTGTTCTCAAGGCCCCCCTTGATTTTCGACCCTCCCGCATTAAAAATTTGCGAACGGCTTGGACCCGGCGCGGTAAACAGCGGGCCGAAAGGATGACCCAGTTCGGATGCCCGAAGGTCGGCGCGTTTTTGGAGTGGATCCGACGAAGGGGGGAGGAGGCTATTTTGCAACTGCGTCATGTTTTCACGCTTTTTGCCACGTATTATCCCGGCGTCGTTGTCCACAAAAACAGCTGAAAAGACTGCGTGGCGTGAAAATATGTTATACTTGTGCGTGCGTGGCGTGAAAATATTTGGTGCCTGCGTATGCAAAATGGTCATTTTTGAGGTCAAAACCCTTTAGTAGCTTTGTGTCTTTAAAATAAAAAATGTATTTTTTAACAATGCTAGATTTGAGCGCATGTGTAATTTATTTTATTTAGTGTTATTTAATTTCTGTACCTGTAACTTCAATGTAATTTTTGAGGTAAACGCGTTAGTAGCTCTGCGTATCTATACAGTCGTGACATTTTACGCCAAAAAAGATTGTGATTTGTTTGTCTAAGGATTTAATTTTTATCGAAATTATGAACCTTCGGAAATTCCTACCTTGACTGATATGTACCTTTCGAAATTTATAAGTTAAAACTGAAACGTGCCTGGACGTGTAGACGCGTCAAACATTCACATAATCCTACCGTAATCACCTAAAAGATAAGCGTGCCGAACGCGAGGAACACGGACCTGCAGCTGTTATCTTGGCCTTTTGTTCGCGTTTTTTGCCGGCTCAGAACCCGAGAAGCTGAATCGGGGCCTGAACGCACCTTTTTATTGGCCCTGTCGCTTCACGGCTCATTTTATTTTGTGAACTTTATTCTCGGCGCATGCCAATTAACAGATCGCACCTGGGATTTCGTTTTTATCGGGCAGATGAATGTGAAAGACGGATGAAAATTTCAAGGTTCTTTGGTATTGTATTCGCGGTTTATCAAGTTGAGCTTCAACGATTTAATAAGAAGTTATTTTAATCGACAAATTTAAGTTTTCAGTGCGAAATATATGGTGATGATAATCGGTACTTCCCGGGGGGGTGTCCCCTTTCTCTTGAACCACTCCCAGGCCCTTCTCCCCATGCACGGATGGCCGAGTGGTCTAAGGCGCCAGACTCAAGCATTGCTTCCTGCGAGCTCGCAGGTTCGGGTTTTCTGGTATCGGTATCGATGCGTGGGTTCGAATCCCACTTCGTGCAAATCTTTTGCGTTTTGCTTTTTGCTTTTGCTGGGCGACAACAAATATTAACCAAGTTATAAGTCTAGCTTCAAGATTTTCCTTAGCTTCTCGGAATTTTTCCCTCCGAAATGCTCTACAGCCCTGATTACTACCCCCCGCCCCACCCCCAATCCACAAAAAAGGTCATTTGTCGAAACCAGCGCCTCTCCTTTTTTTGTTGTTAGGTAGTCATGGGCCACCCACGTGCATTGGGGGCGTTACGTGTGGATGTCCATTTGGGCCTCGGCTGGCCATTGCTTTCCTTTTCACTTTCTATCTCTCGCTCTCTCATCGACGGCCATTCTATCGTTTCGTCGTCGTCCGTCCCTTTTTGCTGCCCCGCTGACTCAAAGGCATTGTGGCCCGGATGATCTATTTCGACATTGGCTAACCTTGGTCGGGGGAAGGAACTTGTGGGCGTGTTGGTTCGAAATTTTTGAAACTGAGACTGTCGCTTTTGCTTATTTGATGGTAGCCTATGAAAGGGATTAAATTTTGCTTCCGGGCACGGGCAGCTGAAATATTGCTTGGAGGCAATGTCGCCAAGGAAACGGTTTCGAGATGTATGCTGTTATCGCATTTTTTGCTACATTTCCGCCGCGTGACTTTTGCAAGATTTGGGTCCTTTCGAATGTAGGAAAATTAAAGAAATTGGCTACAAAATTTTGCAAAATTTGGGGGCCTTGAACCAGTAAAAAAGAAATTAAAATAAAATAAATTTCAAGGCCTTCGGTCGTTTAAAAATTTCATGGGAGAAAAATTGGCATTTTTAGGCTTTAACTGGGCCGATGCACGAAGCTAAACTCACAGCATAAAGATTTGAAAAATGGGGGTTTATATAGATGAATTATAATCATTTAAATCGCCTTTTCGCAAAGGGAGATAAAAATTAGAATACTTTGGGTTTTCATAGAATTGCGCCAAGAGCCGGTTAACTCTAATGTAAAAACTGAAAAAGCCTAAATTATTCACATTTATAAAATCTTATTCGCTTTTTTCGCATCCCATGCTGCTAGAATGTTTCTAGATTTAAGTGGTGCTCCCGGCGCCGTCCCTTTAAAACTCATAAAACACCAAAAAAACCCTCACTTCCGGGCTAAAAGCCTCAGTGACGCTTCATAAAATTTGTACGAAATCAGAAGTCGTTCGGTGGGTCCAGTGTCTGGAGCCCTCGGCTTCTCCTTTTTTTGGTGTTCGCTTTTTTTGGTCTTCCCCCCGTCCCGTCCTTTTCGGAGGCATCACGAGTGGTTCACACAGCCCCCCAACCACACACCCGAGCTGTTGACATTTATTCGGAAGGGCGAAGACGGGGGCCTTTTAGATTTGTTCTCCCCATTTTTCTTTCTTTTTTTTCCGGGGAGGGTTATACTTCACGAGATCTCCGCACAAACACAATAATCTCCCCTGAGAGAGGCGCCATTTAGACATTCCAATTTGGGGGGTCGTAGTCGGTTGTCGTTAAGTTTTGGTGTGGTGTCCTGTAGCCGTTCCTTGCCATGGTTACTAATCTTGTGACGCTGTTTTTTCTTGATTAAGGGGAGGATTGAGTGGCGAAGAAACAATCCGGTTAGCAAGTAGGGAGTTAAAATGGCGACTATACGAAAAATGAGGGGGATTTGCGGGGGGACGAAGCCGGAATTGGATGTATTTTTGTTTTTCTGTATTTGGTGGGGTAGAAATTCACGTGGAATTCTTATGGTATAATAGTCGAACTTCTCAGTTTGGGCCTAGAATTCGACAGCTCGGAAGCTTTTACTTACAGCTTTAAATTATCTAGATTTTTGTCTTGGCGCGGTTTCCGAGATTTCCGGCAAAAAAAGCCGGATTTTATGTGTTTTTGTTTTCTGTTCTTAGCGGAATATTTTTGGTAATCAATCTGTACCTCAAAACCGGGTATTTTTTGTTAATAGCGTTAAGAATTCGGAAATTTTGAGAACGGTCAATTCAGTACCTTATTTTTGTTGTAACCTACGGTATTTTATACTAAATGCGACGTTTGCAGGGTATTGCATGATCTATGCTATACATCATCTTTACAAGCGTCCTGCCTTTAGGCCAGCTTCCGGTAAATGAAGCTTCACCTCCCTTCACCACTGGCTTTCCCTAATCCCCCAAAATACCTTTCGTATAGTTGCCATTTTGGGGCCCCCTTCCCTCCCACCTTCCTGCACCACCATCTTTTTCTGGTCCCTCTTTTTTAAACGCCGAACGCGTCCCCCCACGTGTTATCTCGAGCCGACAACCAAAAAGAAGAAGAAACTAAAAAAGAGCACGGGGAACGCCCCGTCTCTCATTTTCATCAGCACCCCTTCATGTTAAGTTATTCAGGGGCCTAGGAATGGGGAGCTTTCTGGAATTTTGTTTCGGCATGGAATGCTTATCTTATTTATAGTTTTGAGAGAGAGATAGTTGTAAAAAAGACTGACTAATGGTAAGGGCTCGTCTAAACAAATGAGTAATAGTCCTGGAATTTCGTGGGAGAGCTTCATCTCGTAATCTAATAAATCTAGTCAGTATCAACACAAAGCCCGAATCCACGACTTAATTCCACGGCAGGCATACTAGACACGGTTTAATTCCAGGGTTTTAGCCGAAATATTGAAATATTCGGCGTTTTTCGGCGTTGCCCTAAGCGTCGCTAGCTCAAAATTAGCATAACTCTTGAATCTGTTGAATCTCTCCCTCACTCTATGGCTCACTCTCTCTCTATCGCTCACTCTCTCTATGTGGCTCGCTCTCTCTCTCTCTCTCTCTCTCTCTCTCTCTCTGTCTCACGCTCTCTCCGTCTTTCTCTATCGCTCTCTCTCTCTCTCACTCGCTCGC